AGGGAATAACCAACAACATAAATGGTATGTTGTTTTTAAAGGTAGGGTTGTTGGCATTTGCTCATCATGGGAGGGATGTCATCAACATGTTGTAGGGTATAGTGGGGGCATTGTACAAGAGTTTTGCCTCTTGAGAGGATGTCGAAGTGACACTTTCCAACTATATTGCGTCTAAGTATGATAATCATCACATAGTCAGTGGACAAATGACACATGAAGTGATTAATAGGGAACATGTCAAGATGACACATGAAGTACTGGGTAATAGGGCATAGGTCAACTGCAATGAAAATGAATTTGTATGGTCCATTGTAGGATTGGTAATAGGTATCATACTCACTCATATTATATACCACTTTGTCGCACAATTATGAATTGTTTGATGTTTTATCCAACTCAAAATGGCCTGCACAATTCTACTTTTTTTTTTAAGAAGAAAAATTTTATAGATTGAACCCAAGAAAATTACAAGAATCAAAGATTTACAAGATAAAGCATCAAAATACAATTTTATACATTTTTGGTTTTAATCCTTCAAGATGCTTTGAAGGAATTTACATTAACACCAAAGAGCCCAGACACTTCAAACGAACTACTTCAACAGTCCACCCCTCCTGTTATCAACTCAGTCACAATAGTGTTTACAAAATGACAAGGACTAATCATTTCACTATCAAAACTAGCAACCTCCTTTGATCCTGCACCACTAGCATTCTTTCCAGGCTTGGCAAAGAATCCACAACAAATTTAGAAGAGCACCCAGCAGCAAATCCAGACTTTGCAAAACCATCAAAATTTGAGACAAAATGCCCCATAAAAAATTGTAATTGTTTGGTTCCAAAAAACGTATTGTTTTATTCCACAAAATATATTATCAGTCATTTCAAGACTATATGAAATAGACTACAAAACCTCTAGTAACCTTTAGTATATTTCATATGGTTGAAAAATGACAGACCCTCCTATTTGGGAACCCAAAACTATATCCCAGTCCACACTATATACAAAAAAAAGTCAGTGTAACTTTTGGAATTTCCCAATCTAAACTAATATCTCCACAAATTTATCATTTTCTAACTGGCATCCTTGTACCACTGATGTGCCTTCGTTGTAATCTTGTCTCTTGGTTCATTATATACTTGGGTAACTAGCTTAATTGTTAGATCCATGCGCATTTGATTTGATTGCTCCTAAAGACACAAGTATATTAAGTGAGTTCACAAATTTAATATTAAAATAAATTTAGTTCACTAATAAGAAAATGTATCATACTGTAATCCTGAATGATAGACCCAAAATTAGAGCACTCATCATCTTGATAACAAATATTCTATAATCATAACTATTAGGTTGTCGAGGAGTCCACTCAACTTGAGTTATGGGCCAGTGGATCAGTGTTGGCCTGTGGTTCGGTACGACAAGTTCAAGGACTATGTCTAGTTCTTTAATCACATTCTTGACGGCAATGTATCGGTGCTCATTAGAATGCATTGACAATGAATCGAGTAGCAGAACTTGTTGCCCCACTACATCAACCAAGCAGAGATACCAATATATTTTTTTCTTATTGATGGGTATATATATCTATAACTATACATAAAATAGATTGTCGATTATATATATGCAGATATTATTGTAGAAATGATCCATCATAAATAGAGTAAAAAATAGTTTAAAGAATAGAACAATTATATACCATTTCACAGTCCTTGAAATGTGAAATAAAGTACCTTTGAAAATCAAGCAACTCATACGTTTTATCTTTGTATGTTCCTCCAAGTGCTTTTTGCTGGGTATTGGAGAGAACTATGAGTAGACATTGAGAGTTTAAAATATTTTTGAAATTTATAAATGTGAAATAGACCATTACTGAAAACCATGTTGGTAGGTACCATCGTAACTTTTTTGTAAATGGATTAATCTTGACAGACTTAGGAATAAAATATGGTGCCAAATTTATTATCTTCAAAAGGTCAAACAATAGAAAATCAAACTCACAACAGAATCATGTTAGCCACAACATTATCATATTAGTCAATATTAAAATTATACTAAATAAATGTCTATCTAACTCACAGCATCTATTAGCCATTTTGTCAATTTTAAGGTTTCAATCATTGCTCCTCTTAACGCATAACAAGTTTTAATGCTCACTAATAGCTCACTGTATCATTAAAGAATTGAATTAGTATTTTATGATGCTCTAATAATACTGTTCATTACACAAAATATAGTAGATATCTCATTTCAAGGGATGTGTCAAATATATAATTGAAGACAAACAATTTGTCATCAGCAGTTATTTCGTCGATTGGTGGATACTCCACATCTAATGATGGGTTCCACGCAGTACTAATAATTCCCCTGATACAATTGTTCCTTTATTCTTATTTTCATTTATTTCCTCCTCCTCATTAATTCCCTCATTATCCTTATCCACATCCTCTTCATTATTTTCATTCACATTCACATCTTCATTCTCATTCTGTTCAATTCCATTACTATCCAACTGTGTTTAAAAAAAACAAAGTAGTATCATATATTGTTAAATCATAAAAAAAAAAATCAAGTAAAACCACATCCTAGAAAAGATGTGTTAACCTTAATTATATCTTCTGTAGATCTATCCATATCCTTTAACATCAGATTTTTTATGCTTCCTACTCTGAACATTCTGCTTAAAAAAATAATACATAGGTTTACAACCAAATAATGAAGTTTAATAAAAATATGGATGGTATAATGTTTACATTATATCATTATATCTGAACGAGTCTAACAAGACTTGGATCACCAGTGCAAAGGTAAGCAATGGAGGATTATCAAACTCAAAGTCGTGCGAAAAAAAAAAAAGTAAGCACTGGATGGAGTTTCACACTACCTCGTCGTCGGAGACTCAAAATCTAAACCAAACAAATACTTTTTATACGGTGAAAGAGACGGAGGGAAGACAAGAGAAGTGAAAAATAATTTGGGTGGGAAAGTGGGTAGAGGGAGAAGATAAAATTTTTGTAATTTGTGGACCACAATATACACTGAAAAATAAAAAAAAAATAGTATATTATAATTTGTGAGGTGTAAGTGTAATTTACATCTAGAAAAATTAAGACTAGCTGAAGAAATAGGCGACCAATCGGGGTTAATATTACACTTTTATTCCTTAACTATCAAACTTTTATCCCTTAAATAATCAAAAAATTTCTACTGTAGTCCAAAAATATTTAATATTTTTTAAATAGTCTCACTCTTTTGATAAAAATCAAGGATAAAAGTGTTATTAACAACAAATAAATAAATACTACCTCGTCAATCCTAAAAAAGAATAAAATTAAATAATTAAGACCGCTCACCAAATAAAAAAATTGTCAATAAAGGTTCTAACTCTTTGGATAGGGGTATAATTTTTTTGGATTGAGTTCCAATTTTTGGGGTGACTCGGATTAGTTAGATTACAACTTTTTTTGTGAGATTTCAACTATTTTAGATTGGGTTATAAGCTTTTGAGTTGAGGTTTAACTTTTTAGGATTGAATTATTATTTTTTTGGGGTGGATTCTAACTTTTTGGGGATAAAGTTTTAACTTTTATGCATTAATTTATATTTTTTGGTTCATATTTCAACTTTTTTGAATTGAGTTATAACTTTTTGGGATAAGTTCTAACTGTTGAAAGAGGAGTTCCAACTTTTTTAGTGAGATTTCAATTATTTTAGATTGGGTTATAACTTTTAGGGTTAGATTTAACTTTTTAGGATTGAATTATATTTTTTTGGAGTTTCAACTTTTATCCGTTAGTTATAATTTTTGAGCTCAATTTTCAACTTTTATAAATTTTAAATTTGAGTTATAATTTTTTTTGCATTAGTTTATATTTTTTGGGTCAGGTTTCAACTTTAATGAATTAATTTATAATTTTTTGAGTGGATTCTAACTTCTGTGGGATTTAGAATTTTTAACATTGAATTTACCACATTTTTTAGGTATGTTATCAGTTTTTTGGTATCAAGTTATTTGTCAAATTCTACTCTATTTTTATTACTGGTTTAGCAGGTAAACGGTATCCCACTTTTTAAACTCATCAACGACTACAAAAGCAAAAATATTACATCAATAATCAAAATTGAATGTTGGTACAGTACCAAAAAACAAATTTCGGTATTGTAGAAGGATCCAAAAAACATAGGTAGGACACAGCGTTTGAACATTAAGGAATATTGAAACTTGAAATGTGAAATTTTCATTTTATCTCTTTGAAAATTGCAAAATTACATTTNCGAAAAACATAGGTAGAACATAGCGTTTGAACATTAAGGAATATTGAAAACTTGAAATGTGAAATTTTCATTTTATCTCTTTGAAAATTGCAAAATTACATTTTGTGCCTTAATTTTTTTTTTTTACCTCAATTCCAAATATAATTTTTTGTACTTAAAGAAATGCGGGGACAAGTATACGACACATAATTGAAAAGATAAAATAAAAAAATATTTTTAGGCACAAAGTACCTTTCACCCATGATATAAATAAAGGGTAAATTATCCTTTGACCTTCTCAATTATAACTCTTTTTTTATATTATTTCTTCAACTATTATATTTTTCAAATTGTACTATATATTATATGACTAGTTTCACATTACCTTAATTATTAATATTTATTACATATTTAACAAAAAAATATTTAATTTTTTTTTTTACTTTGACCCGTTAGATTGGTAATTTCAAACCAAAAGATAGCAACCATTTGTGAGTGGGGCAATGTGATATAATTCAAGTAATTAAGAAGACAATGTAAAAATTGAATAGGACAAGAGATAAAATAAAATAAAGTCCATAGTTTAGAGAGTCAAAGTGTAGTTTCCCCATTAATCAATTTTAAAGCACTGTAACTGCCAAACAAACAACCGTTCAGAGACTTGGGATTTCCACTCTCTTCTTGCTCTTGTGCAGCATTTCATAGACTAGTAATAAGCATCAGCTCTCAAATATTCAGCCAAGAAGAAAATGGGGTTTTTCTCACATCTCAACAGAGCTATCAATGGCTACCCTTCTTCCTTAAAGCTTCTGGTTCTTTTCTCTGTCAGGTTCTGATTCCTTTAATGTCTTCTTCATGAGACCCCCTTTTGATTTCATTTCAATTTTGAAAACACTCTGTAAGTACTTAATGTTTGTGGGGTTTTGGGGGTTTTTTTCGTCACATACCCACTTATGCTTCTTCCTATTATGTGTCTTGAAATTTTATGAGTGGAGTTTTGAGGTTTTCCTTCGAATACCCAATTTTTGTTTTTCCGTTTCTGGTTTGAAAATTTGGGAATTTGATGTTTGCTCTGTTTCTCTTGTGGTGATGGATTCATTGACATTGCGTTTTGTTGTTCCACGGTGTCTTCATCTATGCCTCAAGAACCAGGATGTGTTTTGACTGGTATGTGGAAATAGCATAGATCATGGCAGGAGTTTACTTGAGTAAAATATAATTCAGCCATTTGATGCACCTCCTCACTTGTTGATTTAAATATAAAAAACTCGTACAAATGATAAACAACAATCCATATTCCAGCCCTAATACGAAGGCTTGCTTCCAAGTTCCACAATATGAATGTATCTATGTAAAATTTTTGAAGTATGAGTACTACAGCAAAGTCATATCTTTCGATGCTGTTATGCTGTAATGGGTCCTAAAACTATTGATCAATTAGGATTCTTCAGATTTATACTGTTATTATATCCTAAATAGTGATTAATTATTAGTATTCTTTATAAGATTTATAGGAAAAAGATAGGAATATGCTTGTAAAAAGTTGGAAAGAAAATTCTCAATATCATATTTGAGGGCAAGCCTTGGTGGAGCGATAAGGTTGCTCCGTTGTGACTTAAGCGTAAAGGGTTCGAATCTTAGAAATAGCCTATTCGCATGAGAGGTAATGCTGCATATATTTGACCTTTTTCAGACCCAGTAGTGGCGTGAGTCTTGTGCAGAACAACCTTTTTATAAGTTCCTAGTTTATTTCAGGCTTAAATGAGCCACAAGTGGCTAACACTATGTGATCAAAATGATAATGATGATGATGAAATGACGATGACAGGGATATTAAAATGTCGCATGATGCTCCACTGACCCTTTGATTGACATTGATGAAATCACCTTGCCAAGTGGAACCAAAATTTGATTTTGAAAACTGACATCTGAAGCGAAGCCATTACCTCTGTATGGTAAAGCTCATTACCTCAAGAGTACTTGAGAAGATCTTCGGTTGTTTGTGTAGAATCCATGGTTTTACCGGAACCCTGAGCTCCAAGGACAGAAAAAGTAATAAGTTTGCTTCCACTGGAAAGGTAATTCACTTGGTTATGGTAGAAAGAAGGCTTACGATGAACATTATACTACCTGTAGATCTTTTTTACAGGAGGAAAACATATTTGGTTTTACTCGAACCTTCACAGTGAGGATGATTCATGATGACAATGTGGGATGAGCAACAACACAAATAGTGCATATTTGCGGCTTTTATTATTTTATCTCTTTGCTTTACTTAAAATACTGCCAACCCAGTAGAGTGGCCCCTACAACATGATCATATGGCCTATTGTGTGCTACGCACTGCTTATCATAATGATACCAATTATGGTCGTTCAATGTGTCAAACATTGACATGGAAGATCCCTCAACTTTTTTTGAGTGTTCCTTGTGCTTCAAAAACTGTTCTAATTTGTAGTGTGTGTCCTTCCTTTCTGGTGAATTGTACATCTTCAGCTAGTATGTTGATCATTGCAGTAGCGGAGGTCTTGTGGCACATGCAGAGCCACAGTCAGACAATGGAAGAGATACCGTCGAACTTAATCAAATGGAACCTAAGAAGAAGAGAGTAGTGGTGCTAGGCACGGGATGGGCTGGTACCAGTTTCCTGAAGGATCTGGATATTTCACTATATGATGTTAAGGTGATCTCCCCTCGGAATTATTTCGCATTCACTCCTTTGTTACCTAGTGTCACATGTGGAACAGTTGAGGCACGAAGCATTGTAGAACCAATTCAGAGAATAATGAAGAAGGTAAGTGAGTTTTTATTGTAGTATTTTGTCAAAGTGCACTATGCTGTACACATTAGATTTACTTGAAACATTCAAGTTCTTTGGTTATTATCATCAATGTGTTGTGCATATATAATTTGTAAAACGTTATAATATAACTTAAACATTGTTGGAACCAGACAGACAATTTCATTTCTCATTATTTGAATAATTTCACTATTACATCTCTGGTGCTTCCTGTACCGTCGTTACTTCTTGTCTAATACTTACTAGTTAATGGCTTTGTAGTTATTCTACGCCAATTATTGCTTTCGATCTTGTTGACAATGCTCTAAGGAATTTTTTAGTCTACATGTACTCTATTTGTCCAAGAAATTTTTTAATGTTTTTTCATTTTCCATGACAGAAACGTGAAGAGATTGATTTCTGGGAAGCAGAATGCCTCAAGATAGATGCAGCAAAAAAAAAAAAATTCTGCCGTCAAACATCAATGAAAACTTAGCAGGATATAATGAATTCTTTCGGGAATATGACTATTTAGTTATTGCCATAGGAGCAGAAGTAAATACTTTTAACACCCCTGGCGTCTTGGAGTATTGCCATTTTCTGAATGTAGAGTTCTTTCATATAGGATGAACTCATGTATCTTGGAAGTCGACAATGTGATCAACAATTTGTTTTCAGAAAAAGCTACTAAATATGATTATTGCTGACATTTCTTTGGGAGTCCTAAATTTCCTTTAATTGAAAAGAATTCTTGACATCTCATACAGGAAGAAGAGGATGCTCAAAGGATCCGTCGAACTGTTATAGATTGTTTTGAAACAGCTGTCCTTCCAGGGCAAAGTGAAGAAGAGCGAATGACAAACCTCCATTTTGTAATAGTTGGAGGGGGGCCAACTGGTGTGGAATTTGCTGCAGAGTTATACGACTTTGTCCATGAAAATTTAGTATACTTATATCCCACGGTAAAAGATCTAGTGAAAATATCGGTGATCCAATCTGGGGATCATATGTTGAACATGTATGGAGATAGATTTCATTATTCATTTGTTCATTTCACTGGATATATCTTAGTGGAGCATCTTGGTTATCTTATACAGACTTATACTCTTGTTTTCTCCTTTACTTGAATGGTTGTCAGCCAGATTTTCACTCCCATGTCATTTATTATGCATAGGAATTTTTTGTTTTGCATTATTTGTGGTATTTCTTTTTCCCATATTTTAGGTCTAAGGGGTGGTGAGATTTCGATTGCTTCTCTATCAATTATTAAATTGAGATAGTCTTCTTTTGATTTTGGATTCTACCTTGTGTACACTAGACACGATCCAAGTTAGAGTGAATGTCAAAACCAGTGGCTACACCTTGCAGATACGTTGAGTTGAGTATGTTTTGTACCTCTGGTATGATTGAATTTTTTGGTCCACATAAATTAATTACCTTTAGATTTCCTCTTGGAACGATAAAAGACTTCATCTGTGTTTGAATTATATTCCTGCGTGATAAAAATTGCTTCCTAAGATCTAGCCATGATTGAAAATCATAGAATAAAAGTTTAACTTTACCAAGTTGCTGTTTACTCTTGTGGTCAATGTCTCGACTCCATTATTCCCTGTCCCTGTTTCTTTCTTTTCTCCTTTTTTGGCTTTCCTTTTCCTTCTATCCTTCACCCCACCCTCGCACCGAGGCATAACCAACTTGTAATTGTTGATTTGCTTCTTTATCTGTACTGATTGCTTTCTATTGATTAATGATAGGTGCATCAATGTTATCAATAGCTAGTTGTATATCTTCTTGTCGTCCTTCTTTGAATTTTTCTTTTGTGTGTGGAGCAATTTTTGAATCTGTTCCAAATATCTAGTTATGCCCGCCCACCCCTTGAAATACATTAGTTTAGAAATTTGTTTATACAAATGAAGATATATTATCAACTACAGATATTCAGAGATTTTTCACAATTAAAGTCCATTTACTAACCTTTGTCTTTGTTAAAAGTTTGGTTCAGCATGATGCTCATGAATCTTACAAGCTATGGGGACCAGCATTGTTGGATTTTGATTATTGGTTTCCGTATGTTCTATGAGGAAAAAAATTTGTATGTTGATCCTCCCTTTTTTGTGGGGATTAGCATAGTTAAATCTTCCTTAATACATTGTTTCGTTTGATTATACCATAAATGAGACATCTCTGGAGCTGCTAACATGTGAAAACTCAAACCGAGAATGCCTTCAGAGCTACTTCTGTTGCACTGTTGTAACATTTTATTGCTTTCTATTCTGTAGAGTAATTCTTTTGTTGTATCTCTGCTCATCATTTTTTCATCAAAACCTCAAGCCCTGTACTTATTGGTCTTCTTCCTTTATGATACTGAGGGTTTTTTGGTGTCTCATGTTGTTGCCAGGTGTATCTCTACTCAGTTCTTATCTCTTCCATTTCTTGCTTTGTCAGTCTTCCATCTTCAGATCCCCTCTTCTGTTATGCTCATCTTTGGATATTGTTTTTAGCATTGTAGCAATAGTGATACAGCTACTCATCTTCTGGGATGGTACGCGGGGTGTATGTCTGTCTTCTTTTCCTCTGTTGGGGGTGCGGGTGGAGTTTTTCTGAGATTTGGAGGATTGAGAAACTTTTTTCTGTATATTGTACTCTGAAGTAGATCACTAACGTGCTTCAAAAAAAAAGGGTAGATTAGTAATGTGTTTTCTGATTCTTCTTCAGTTTATTGGTTCAGTGCTAAGGTTTGTATTGTGCCTCAATTGCCTCTAGAGTAGCTTAATTGTCATTTCTGTTATTACATGACTAATTAGTCTCTACCACGTAGGTAACTTCTTGTATGTCATACTTACTCCATACTGCAAGTGCATGGGAACAAAAGGGATATCACAATTTAGAAACTCAGGAATTTGTGCTTCTCATGTCTTTGTAGGTTTGATCAAAGAATTAGCTCGTTTGCTGAACAAAAATTCCGGAGAGATGGTATTGAAGTTCTAACAGAATGTCGGGTTGTAAGCGTTTCTGATAAATTGATCAACATGAAAATGAAATCTCTGGGAGAGAATATTTCTATTCCCCATGGGATGGTTGTGTGGTCAACTGGGATAGGAACTCGCCCAGTTGTCAAGGATTTTATGGAATTGTTGGAGATATAGCAGCAGCCTAGTTTATTAGGGTTTTATTAAATTTTTCTTTTTACCTTTTTGTCCTTGTTGTAATTCTCATTGACTATATATACGGGGGCTCTACACTTAGTTTGTATCTCTTTCACTTACATCTATCTCAAGTTAATATCAGAGCCTAACCGAACCCTAACTCTAGCCACTCACAGCCTACAAGAACAGACCGACAGCCTCCACCGACAAACAACTCAGTCCACCGATTGCCAAACCATACCCAGCAGCACCGAATCAGCGACAACTCAAACCTTCAGCAGCAGCCATTAACTAAGCCCCTGTCCCACTACACAATCCACTACCCAACACCGACAGCCACTCCACTGCCCACAAATACTACCAACTTGAACCAGCAAACCCAACTAACCTTGAACCAGCGAACCCAGCCACCCCGAACTAGCGACAGCCAGTCATCCAAACCAGAACCCACTTCACCAATAAAACACAAACCACACCGACTGCACCACGTTACAGCCACTACCCCAGAAAAACCCACCAACAGCACCCACAAAATCAGTTCTGTGACTTTGGGTATGGCTTGTTCTTGATTTGACGATAACACCTTACAGGTCTCTTCCCCTTGGCGAGCTCTCTCTGGTTGATCAGCGGCTTCGAGTGAAACGAATACACCCATCAACAATTGACAATAAACTAACCAGCCCATAAACTAAACGAACCAACCCACTGCTAACCAACCCATAAACTAAACGAACCAGCCTACTACTGCCACTATTCACTCTAGCGAACCACTGTCCACTCTAGCGAAATAACCCACCATTGTTGGGTCATGTTTTTCGTTGTGGCTTCGTTCTAGGATTTTTTATGAGGGGTTGAATCCTCTTTTTTTTCGTCTGTTGATTTGCTCTTGATGCAGTAGATTATTTATATTTACTTGATTTCTGAGCACCGTGACCTGATTATTTGGGAGTTTTTTTGAACCTTCTTTATCTGTCGCTACTGTTCGACTAGAGGTATATTATTCTCCCCTATTTTATCCCTCTATTTATCTTAGAGTTATTTTTTTCTATCACAGGTGCTCTAGTATTATTGTTGATATGACTACTACTATTGAGAAACTTGAGACCCCTACTGTTGACACCTCTACCGTTGAGACATCCATGGGTACTTCCACTTTTATGTTTGACTAGTATACAGTACCTACTAGCACAGTTGCATTACTAGCACTACCGGGCATGATCTCTCAAAAAGTTACTGCACAGTTGTTGAATGGTCGTAACTTCGCTGAGTGGTCTTGCTCATTCCAACTTTTCTTAGGCTGTGTAGGGAAGCTTGGTTGGCTAACGGGATCTCACCCAAAGCCAGCTAATGTCGACCCTGAATATTCTGTGTGGTTCTCTGAGAACTGCGTCATTCTTGGATGGTTATTTGGCTCGATGGAGCTATCTGTTTGCAAAATCCACCTGTTTCATAGCTCTGTTTGGAATCTATAGAGTGCATTATCAGAGATGTATTCTCAGTCAGGATGGGGAGTTCGTGTTTATGAGCTTTCTCATGAGCTCTCATATGCTCGGTAGGGAGATATGACCGTTCAGGATTATTATGGCTATTTGACCCAACGCTGGCTTGAGTATGAGACTCTACGTCCTCTTGCTGCTATTTCGAGGATAGAGCCCGAGGGAGCAGCATTCTTGCATACTCGAGACAGGAGGATAGGATTCACAAGTTCCTTATGGGGCTTCGTGATGAGTTTGAGGGACCTCGTTCTCAGATCTTGTCGATGTTGACACTTATTTCTTTTTATGAGGTGTATGGGATGATTGAGCAGTATGAGCGCCGAGTCCGTATTGCATCACTTCTAGTTGTGGCTTTGACTCCTTCGGCTGACCAAATGGCCCTTGCAGCTGCTGCAAGGTCTCGTTCAGGATCCTCAGTCAGGGGTGGGCAGCGCTCGGACCAGCGCCGTCAGGGTGCCCCAGATCAGTGCAGACAAGGGGATTCTCGTCAATGTAATTATTGTGGCTGACCAGGATATCTCAGGGTTACTTGCTGGAAGCTCCATCCAGAGCTTAAGCCACCTCCTCACAGCCATACTGTTGCTATTATTGAGGTACCACCATCCACTACCGCTACTCTTGCGGCTACTCCTCTTTGGCAAAGTGATATGGATGCTATCACTTCCCGATTAGATATACTTATGTCTACTCTGACTTCTCAGAGTCCGACTTCTACTGCTTCCACTACAGGTATACCTCGTGTCTTTCATGCTTGTGTCAGTTCATCTCCCCTTTGGATGTTGGACTCGGGTGTGAATGGTCACATGACAGGTGCGGCCCATCACTTCACCACTTTTGACGAGCAGTTACATACACAGATTCATTTAGTAGATGGGACACATGCCTCTATTGCTAGTAGGGGTACAGTCCACCTCCTAGATGGCTTTACATTTCATTCGGTTTTTCATACGTCAAAGTTGGTCATGAATCTATTATCTGTACATCAGTTAGCCAGAGATTTTTACTGTGCGGTTGTATTCTTATCTGATTCGTGTTATTTGCAAGACCTGAGTACCAGGAGGATTATTATCAGGGGACATGAGAAAGAAGGACTGTATTATCTTGGTAATCCACATCCAGTTTTACCAATTCCTCCACCTATATCACCTGCACCTGCACCTGTTTTGTCTTTATTTGTTCTTAGCTTGCATGCTAGTATTTTACCTAGTAGTTGTCGTTTTGATTTTTCTTCACAAACTGTTCAGTTGTGGCATAACCGTTTTGGACATACAAATTTTAAATATTTATGTATGTTGTTTCCTACTTTGAACAATGCTTGTATTGATAGTAAACTTGACTGTGTTATATGTTTTCTATCGAAACATGTTAGGGCCAGTTATATTCCTCGCATGCACCAGTCACCCAAGCCATTTGACCTAATACACTCTGATATTTGGGGACCCTCTCCCGTTACTGCTCTGTCAGGCGATACTATGTGACATTTATAGATGACCATACCCATTGTACTTGGGTCTACCTTTTGCATCGAAAGTCTGATGTACTCCTTATAATAACTCAATTTTTACAGATGATTAAGACACAATTTGATGTCATTGTTCGTGCTCTTCGTTTCGATAATGCCAAAGAATATGTGTCTGATGCCTTAGTATCCCATCTTTCTTCTCAAGGTATTCTTCAGTAACTCACTTGTCCATATACTCTTGAGCAAAATGGTGTTGCTGAAAGGAAAAATAGGAGTTTGATAGGGATGATACATTGTATGCTTAGAGGCACGAGAGTACCAAAATTTTATTGATATTTTGCTATTTTAACTTCTACCTTTCTGTGCAATCGTACGCCGAGTCGTGTTCTTCAGCATAAGGCTCTCTTACAGGTCTTATTTTCTGAGTGAACACTTTTTTCGGTCCCCCCTCAAATTTTTGGATACACATGTTTTATTCAGGATTGATCTCCTACTCGTCATAAACTTAGTAATAAAGCGATTCGTTGTATCTTTGTGGGCTATTGTCATCAATCTAAGGGGTATCGGTGTTATGATCCTATTGGGCGTCGTATGTATCACAGTCTAGATGTTACTTTTTTTTGAGCATATTCCTTATTTTTCTTCTAGTCCTGTGTCTGCTCCTTCAGTTGAAGATACTCCCCTTGATTTTTCATTACCACAAGAGCCAGAGTCATTGGTCACTATCCCTACAGGGTCATCCGTCTCTCCTCCTCTGAAGCCACTCATCCTTGTCAGTATAGAGTCAACAATCTCTCTTCCTTTACAGGTGTATGTTCGTCGCATTCGCTCTCATCACCCTGTTGATGTCATCTTTACCTCAGGCGATGCAGGTAATACTTCTCAATTTATTGAGCATATTGATGCACCTGTTGTTAGTACTGATAAGTTTGCAGGTGTTGAGCTAGTTCCTTTACCTGATGAGACATTATCAGTGGAGGCTGATGATTTAGAGTGTCGTTATTCGCGGCGTGATCGTCATCCAGTTGATCGTTATGGTTGGACCGTCAGGATTTTATATTCGATCTCTGCTTCTATTTCTTATGGTGATTTGTCTCTTATATTTCGAGCTTATAATATGGTCTTATCAGATACACCAGTTCCTCGCTCTGTTTTGGAGGCTATACGGGAGCCCTAGTGGGTTCTTGTCATGCAGACAGAGATGGACGCTCTTCAGCGTAATCATACATGGGATCTTGTCTCTTTACCTTTAGGAGTGAAGTTTGTTGGTTGTCGCTAGGTTTACACCCTGAAGTTTCTTGCGGATGGTACTATTGATCGTCACAAGGCTAAGCTTGTGGCGAAGGGCTTTACCCAGGCACCAGGTCATGATTTTGGTGCTACATTTGCCCCCGTGGCAAAATTGACTGTTGTTCGATTGATTATTTCTCTGGCTGCAGAGTACTCTTGACTTCTTCATTAGTTAGATGTGAAGAATACGTTTCTTCACGGTGATCTGGACGAGATTATTTATATGGATGCACCACCAGACTTTCGTGGTAAGGGGGAGTATGCTGGAAAGGTATGTCGATTGCGTAAGTCTCTTTATGGACTGAAATAGTCACCACGAGCCTGGTTCTCTCGCTTTAGTGATGTAGTCGTACATTTGGGGTTCACCAGATGTTATTCTGATCATACCTGCTTTATTCGACGGAATACTTCTGAATAGTGTGTCATCCTTTTGGTATGTGTTGATGATATTATTATTATTGGTGATGATGTTTATGGGACTGCGCAAGTCATGGTAGACCTTGGGAAGACCTTCGATGTAAAGGACCTTGAATTGCTGCGATACTTTCTTGGGATTAAGGTTGCTCGTAGGAGCAAGGGTGTTGTTCTTTCTCAAAGAAAGTATGTTTTGGATCTTCTTTCAGACACTGGCATGCTGGAGTGCAAACCGGCATCATCACCCATGATTCCAAACCTGAAGCTTACTATTTAAGGTAAGGAGTTGAGAGATCCGACAGTTTATCAGAGATTGGTAGGTAGACTTATCTACTTAGCCAACACTAGGCCGGACAATTCATTCGCTATCAGCCGAGTTAGTCAGTTCATGCACAGGCCGTGTCAGCCTCATCTCGATGCAGTTTATCATATTCTTCGGTACCTTAAGTCTTGTCCTGGACTTGAGTTGTTCTATGCATCAGGATCTCAGACCGATTCTCTAGCCTGTTATTCAAATTCAAATTATGGGGGAACATGTGACGGTCGATCTACTACGGGCTTCTATTCTTTTCGAGGGACTCATCTTATCTCTTGGAAGAGCAAGAAGCTGACAGTTGTCTCCTGCTCGTCAGCAGAGGCAGAGTATCAGGCACTGACACTTGGCACGTGTGAGATTATCTGGCTACGATCGATTCTTGGTGAATTGGGATTTTAGTGACTTCTCTATCCACATTATATTGTGATAATCGATCTGCTATTCAGCTTGCTTCTGACTCTGTACTACATGAGAGGACGAAGCATATAGAGATCAATGTTCACTTTTTTCGGGAGAAGGTTAGCAGTGGTATTGTCACTCCATCGTTCGTGGGGACCAGTGATCAGGTTGCTGATGTTTTTACCCAACCTGTCTGTCACTCTATCTATTATTCAGGACTCCGTTGTCAAGCTTAGCTTAGTTGACATTGTTGCGCCAAGCTTGAGGAGGAGTGTTGGAGATATAGCAGCAGTCTAGTTTATTAGGGTTTTATTAAATTTTCTTTTTACCTTTTTGTCTTTATTGTAACTCTCATTGATTATATATACGGGGGCTCTACACTTAGTTTGTATCCCTTTCACTTACATCTATCTCAAGTGGAACAAATTGGCCCGGTTTGATTATATTTTGTTCCCTTTGCTTTGATGGAGTAAGGATATCAGAATTGGTTCTTGCTGCTAGCTCCGTTACTTACAGTGATCATTTTGCAATATATGCAGACTTGTACATTCCGTGACATTTTTTCAGCTAAACAAAATTGTATGAACTAGTGAAAGTCAATTGGTCATTATTTATGGTTTATTCCGTATGCAGGGCAACAGGCGTGTTCTAGCGACTGATGAATGGCTGAAAGTAAAGGGGTGTGAAGACGTGTATGCACTTGGTGATTGTGCCACTATAGATCAGCGTAAAGTCATGGTATATAAGCCTTTGGCCTGATTATTTGACCTTGCTTTGTCAAGCATCATGAACAGTCAGAGCCCCTAAACTCTATTGTATGCCTTCCAAAAGTTTAACCAATTGTACTAAGGCCACGTTAAACTTATCATGCAAACATACCAACACATGTATTTGTTACACACACACACACACACACATATATATACGTATATTAATGCATACACACATATACACACTCATCCCCACACAAACCCCCACCTGCCACATCAATATAAATAGGTTTTGAACAAGTCGTCATGTGCATCATTGCCCCACGTGGTATTTTGTGGAGATTTCTATACCCAAATTTAGGGTTCTAGTTCCAACAAGGTTTTTAAGTATTTAAACACAACAAATTTAACATGGTTTTTCTCAAGGATTGTATCATTTTTCACTTATGTTCACTAGTCAGTGGTCTCATGATTGCAAAAACTTCTAAATGTTATCCTGCAGATAATTGCATTATCTCTTCTACATTGTTGTAATCAATTAAGCATCATTGTGTTTTAGGAAGATATTGTAGGTATATTGTGGTTGAAGACATTATCATTCGGTACCCCCAAGTGGAGCTCTATCTAAAAAGCAAGCATCTGGACGACGTGACGGATCTATTGAAAGATTCTGAAGGAAATTATAGAAAGGAGATCAATATTGAAGAATTTAAGTTAGCTCTTTCTCAAGTGGATTCACAGATGAGGAGTCTTCCTGCAACTGCTCAGGTATTTTCCCTGCATTGTATTTTCTTGGTAATACTAGAAATTTAAATCCTTTTGTGGCTTTGTGCTGTCAAAGAGAGAATTGTGAAGCTTTCATGTAATCTTTTGGCACAGTAGGTTGCTGCTCAACAAGGTGCATATCTTTCTAGATGCTTTAACCTTAGAGAGGGGTCCAAAACTAATCCAGAACTCCCTCTCCGATTTATAGGCTCTGGGCGGCATGAATTTCGTACCTTCCGGTACACCACCTTTCATGGCTTATCTTTGTTGATTCACTTCACCATTATTTGCAGCACTTTCTGGTAATTTGACAATTGATTTCTGAAGTGAAAAATTTGTTAGGGGACATCCCTTCTACATAATCAACCGGGGAAAAATATCTACCGAAGTTTAGTCCCTCTAGTCCACAGAATCTACATAACCACTTAGTCCTTTGTTCGGATCCTCTCAGATGATGGGTCCAAACATAGTTAAGTTGCTTAATCCTTAGAACTGCATAGCATAGAGTTCTCTCCCAAATGGCCGGCCTTTCCTTTCCCCCCATTTAGTTCCCCCAAGAAATTTTGTCTGTGTGAAAATGGTTTAGCTGGTCTAGCACAGCCAATGTCCTAGACAGTGGCGGGTTCCCCAAGGTCTCAAAAATTGTATTTTCTACCAACGAATTTTATTTTATTTTCTATTTGGTCCCCCAACTCCGAAGTTTATGGTTTGGCCCCCAGTTCCAGAGAATAGATACTAATTCCTGATACTAGGAGATGAAATTTAAAAAAAAACTTGTTAAATGTCTGAAATTTTCTATGTGCCATTTTCTTTCTGCCATTCTTTTTTTTTTTAATTATTTTTTTTTCCTTTTGCCATTCATTAACCATTACATCACCGTTAACTTGGACACCAGGTACAGGTATTCCGGGCAATTTGCACCTTTGGGCGGAGAGCAGACAGCAGCAGAACTGCTGGGCGACTGGGTTTCCGTAGGTCACAGCACACAGTGGCTCTGGTATTCTGTTTATGCAATGCGATCATTACTCTTTCCATGAATTGCATTTGTTTTCCTGTAGAGCCAGTAATGTTTATGTGCTTCAATGTATCTAATTGGCCAATTTATTGTGATATTTAGCAAGCAAGTTCCAGACGTATTTAAGGCAAAAACATGGTAATTAAAGGACTGAAGAAACGCCTAGTTCTCCACTCTTTGGTTTGCTGCTTCTAATACATATGACTTTACCCCAATGCCATCATCTATGAATATGAAAGATCCCAGCTTCTCGAAGAGGCACTCGCTGAACTCCCCAAAAAATCCCACAGTGTGTGTGCATGAGAGAGAGAGAGAGAGAGAGAGTTGTATTGTGTTTTTTTGACTGAAACGATAGAATACAGTTTGTACACCCAGTGTGAATGTTTATCAGTTTCAATTAAGTTTGTTTTGTGCATCATTTTGAACTGATGTACCCTCCATGTGTCACCCTTAAACTATGAATATAACTTTTGTGCTGAGGATGAGGCTGAACTGGTGTGTGCTGGTTTTTCCCTTTTTTGAGAATATTAGAAATGAATTTAAGTGAGTGATATTCCTTATATTAAGGATTTATTTGTTTTGTAAAGTAGATGTGAGTTGATAAATGTAAGTGGTGTCATGGTGTGGTCAACCAAAGAAACCTCTCGTAAGGATTGCTCCCAAATCTTTAATGATGTTGAGATTTAAAATTTTGATTTAATTTATTAATTTAATGATATGTTTGGTGATAGAATTTTAATATACAAGTCCAATAGTTAGAGGTAGGGGTGTTAATCTTGTCGAGTCGTGTTATTTTCGCGATGTCACTTTCGGTGGTATTATTTTTGGTATGTGTTGTATTCATATCAATAAAAATTTATTTAATTTTGTAACATCTCATATGAAACTATGTAAAAAAATTATAAAACAACTATTTTCTGTCTACATTATTCATTAATTGTGTTATTTGTGTAACATTATTTTGACTAATTTATCATTCGTGTCAATTAATCATGTTATTTTCTAGTTTTGTGTCGGACTGAATTCGTATAGGGTTCGTGTCAATAGGTAAAATTGATACTCTAGCTAAAGGTATAATAATTCTATTGAACCATGTGCATGTCACCGTCACATTATTAAGTCAGTCAAGTATATCAGATTTTAAGGTTCAAATAACATTACTCCTTTAATTTTTAGCTAATAAAAACAAAAGACAAAAAATAACATTACAAATTACAATTATAGCATGCAAAAACACCAACAAAAATCTCAATCCTTTGTCTCATTTATTACTTCTTATTAAGTAGGAGGCGAATGTAGTGTCTCAATCTCTTACAACTAATCACCCCAACTAAAATGTTTATGCAATTTCTCAAAATTTTTCATAACCGTTTTAATCTATTTTTAGCTCTTATTTTTTAACATATGATGCAAAAAATAATCAATTTTTTTAATTCAACAATTTTGTATATTTTCTTGCAATGAATTTATTTTATTTTTTGCTAAATTAATTATACAAGGAGTCAAGTTACGACAATATATGTATATAGTTGTAGGTTGTGGCATAATTCAGGTTAGACTTAATAATTTTGGACATGATTGAAATTAATGAACTTAAATTTAGTCTTTGTGAATTCAGCCGAGCGTGTGAACTTGTTAGATTCATTAAATAAATGAATTGACACAAATATATATATAGATATATTTATAATAAAGTAGATTATAATTCAAATTTCTACAAATAAACAAAATGACTTTTACTTTTCGCGGTTCAAATCACTTTAAATTTTACTTTAAAGTTAATCTAACGGCTAATATTAACACCCTAAATTTAATAAGAAAAATAGGCCCCTAAAAGGTTTATTTTGAGTGATTTTTTAAAAGTATTTCTACAAATTATTTCTCATAATTATTTTTAAACTATCGTCGCGGCGGCCGCCGTCGTCACTACCGCCATCGCCATCGACACCGCCACTACCGTCGCCATTGCTGCCACCACCATCGCCACCATGGTCATTGTTATCCACTACAACCATCACCGTCTCCTATCATCATCACTGCCGTCCGCCACTTCTTACTCCCATTACAACCGATGCTTAAATTCATTTATCTCTCTCTATGTTTGTGATTTGATTTTGGATATGAATACAAATATATTTATTATTTAACATTTTTTATTACTTTGTGTCATTAGGTACAGGCAATACCTAGTAACTAAAGTAACTAAATATGATGCAAGCCCATTATAAACGTTGTATACAAAACTTGAACCTGTTTATACATACATTCTTATAAATTAACTAGGTATAAATTAAATAAACTAAACAAATCTCACACCAAGCAGTAATAGCTCTAGAACATGTGCAATCTATTTAATGTCACAGCTATGAAGTTTAATTCTTAACTTAGAAAAGCATAATGATAGTTAAAATTGATATAATTTTTATCTACTTAATTCGATTCAATAGTATAAAATTTATTTTTTCTGTACTGTCTTTAATATCACACAATTCAAACAATATACTCCTCAATTATAATTTTTTTTTTTTAATCGCAGAAACAAGCATGATACAATATTTATAAGTAATTGGCTATGAACAAACAAAAGGCAGAAGCACCCGGAAGGAGAAAACTATCATTCCGTATATCTACTTACAGGTTGGTATATTGTATACAGTTAGTTAATCTATGTGAATGGTTTGAGGTGTTTCAGCATTCACATTTGAAATCAACAGTGCGTTTTGTGTACAAAGAGCCCAAAGCTGGAACTTCAGCTTGCGAAGAGGAGACTGTCGTAGACAGAGGCTGGAAATTGGTATTCCCAACAAACCAGTAGAGAGCCCATTTCAAATTGCAGAGTGTGTACTTGAGAGCTTTCGTCCAATTCTCCTGTTTGTTGCAGCTCTGTGTGATCGAATAGTTTTCCACTCTATCATTCTCAATTTTGTACGGCAGCTTGAAACATTTCTCAGGTGGTATGTTGTTTTCCTTATCCTTAGAATTTGCAAACTCTGCAAACTCCTTTAAGCAAGTCAAAAACAGCGTCATTGCTTTGTCGTAACGCGTGCTCCAAAAAAGGTTCACCGGACCAAATAGTTCATAAGTATTATTGCTGGTGTCCTTAATTCGAGGATAACTACCCATAGGAAGAATTTTTATCCGATATTGGAACTTCGGCAGAAAATATTGAGCCATTGTATGGAGAAGAAGGCAAGCTTGGCCCCACGCAGCATTCATCTCGTCCCACTCAACCGGAATTTTTGGAAGTCTTCCCAGCCGAAAGTTGATAATTGTTCCAAATTCTCCATCATACCAGATGGGGAAAGCATCATTGAGCACATTGGTGCGCTTCAACAACTCTAAATGTGCTTGTGAAACTTCAATTTTTGCCAAAATTGCATCCCTCTCTTCCTGATGCGAAATTAATTGAAAATGAAAATTATTGAATTCATGCCAATACCGCTCCTCCAGCTCTGTAAATCGACTAGATTTCAACTCCAGTTCCTTCAATTCAGCAGTTACTTCCACACATTGTTTCTCTGTTTCCTTAATTGCTGCTTCAAGTTTCTGTTCTTCTTCTTCTATATTTATTTTTTCTTTGAGGAAATCAGCCTCGCTAAGGACACTTCGTGTTTCCCCCTCCATCCGTTGAAGGCAGTCTTCATATGCTTTTATGTCCCTACTTACCTCTTCAACCTCCTTATCAAGGTTGTCAGATAAAACCCTCATGCACTCAAGGCACAAGGGTTGCTCAACCTGTGTCTGGGCAGTTGCAATATCAAATGCACGCTTCAGGACAGTTATGGTGGAATGAAAACCGGAATTGTTTGGCTGCAAAGGAGCAAAAGTAGGTCCACCCTCAGGTGACTGAAATTGGGTTCCACCTCCATCGGATGTAGATTCGCAATTGTATACAGAAGCTGCAGGTGGAGGCAACACCACAAATGATTCTTCCATTGTCTTCCCAGGCTGATTTGTGTCCAGGGGAATACCTCCACCACGAGGCCGAGGAGGGACTCTTGGTGGCAGATTTCTTTGCTTTGGCAACTCAACAAAAGAATGGTCCATACGTGTTGAACCTAACATATTACTAGCCCCATGGACTGAATAACCCTGCACACCGGAGCGAGAGGCGGAGGAGAAAGAGGAATCGGTGTTCAAGAATTTGTCGGCGTAAGAGTCGACGCCGACGATGCAAGGCTGCGACGACAGTTCTGGCAGACCCATCTCGGAAGGTTCGGATCCACCGGTAAGGTCCGACCCTTATCCCCAAGATTATCGTTGTTGTTGTTCTTCATGAATTTCTTTTCTTTGCCCTAAGCCCCAATTTGCATCAACTCACTCTGATAGAGATCAGCCTTCTTTTTCCTTGTAGTGAGAGGTAAAGGGTAGAATCGTAACAGTCGGGAATTCGTTTTTCCTCCCCAATTATAAATACTATATTAATTTACACCAACATCTCTTTTTCTCTTTTTATGTTAAAATTATGTAATTAAAAAAATTATTTAAAATATAAAAATATTTATATAATTAATATTCAACTTTTAGTAATGCAAAGGTATACTATATAGCAATATTACACATGAAACTAGGGTGCACCTTGGGTTAAGCAACCCGATTTCAACCCGAGTCCAATCAAAAAAAATTAGGGTTTAGGCAAGAATTTTTAATACTTGGGTTGGGCTTGAGTCAAAAAACTCCAACCCGAATTTAATTTGGATTGGACTCGGATTAAAGTCTCGTGAACCCGAGTTCAACCCGAATCCGACAAATAAAAAAAAAATTATATATATATATATATATATAAAGTATTAGCACTGATTTTTCATTTTTGTTCTATCGTTCTCTGTCTCTCTTGTTCTCTTTGTTTCTCTCGTTAAAAACTTGGTTAAAGTTATTAATTATTAATCTAGGTGAATATTATGTAATATATGTATTAGATTTAGAATAACAAGTCTATTTTAGACTTTATCCGAATTGAATTTGTAAAATAACTCAAAATCATCGACCTGAGCCCGCTGGAATTAAACTCGAACAGTGCTT